AGTTGTGATGATGCTAGTTATTTCATGCAGAAGGGACTGTTGTATAGCATCATCTTATTAAAAGGACTTGGAATTTAAAAGGATTTGGTGCTGGGATCCACATATGAGGGAGAACATATGTCGTTTGTTTTCCTGAGTCTGAGAGCAGAGGACTACAAGGTCAGAACAGGGTGGAAGAGACTGGGGAGTGTGTCTCGAGGGGCAGAGGGAAACAGCCACTTTTACCAGTGCTCCACCCTTCCCAACTTCGGGGACAGCTAGAAAACAGCTTTCTATCTCAATCATAGGCCCCAAGCCCTTCCTCGAGGGGCAGAGGGAAACAGCCAGCACGCAGCTACTTTTACCAGTGCTCCACCCTTCCCAACTTGGCTGGGAGGGAAGTGGCCTGGTCGTCTCAGAACCCCCAGGGACAGCTAGTCGTCTCAGAACCCCCGGGGACAGCTAGAAAACAGCTTTCTATCTCAATCATAGGCCCCAAGCCCTTGCAGAGTTTTACTGCCCCAAGGCATGGAATTAGTTGTCTCTCTGAGTTCTGGGATTACTTTGACTGAAAACGTAACTAGAGATTGAAATTTCCTCACCGGGGTGCCGGGAAGGGTTGCTGTCAGACCACACGTCACAGTGACAGAGTTGAAGACTCTGCTTTGGCAAGATGGCAAGATTACAATGATGGATGGTGTCCTGAGCACCACGTTGGGCTTGGCATGCTGTCTCCTTTCCAGGCAGCATCCCACAGACACAGGAGGGATGCATTGTGCTGGGACCTGGGGAGGGCTACAGTATCACCAGGACATAGGAAGTTTTAGCTCCATTATAGCCATGAAGGTCAATCTTCTTTGTCAACTAGACCAAATTTGGACTACTCCAGGAGGCATACCTCTGGGCATGTCTGTGAGGACAAGTCCAGAGAGGTTTCTCTGAGTGGGAAGACCCCCCTGAATGTGGGCAGCACCATCCCATGGGGAGGGGTCCCAGGATGAATAAAAGGAAAAAAGAGGAAAGTGAGCCGAGGGCCAACATTCTTCTCTCTGTTTCCTGGTGGCAGACACAATATGAACAGCCATCTCATACTTTTGCTACCCACACCCTCCCCCCATGGTGGACTATATTCCCTCAGTGAGCCAAAATAAATCCTTCCGCAAACTGCCTCTGTCACAGCATTGAGAAAAATGACACGATAACTTTGGACCTTCATCATATATATGGTCCAGCCTTGACCAAAACACTATTATGTAGGAGCACTGTTCTAAAAGGAAGCATTTACAAATTCCTGATGGCTGGGCTGGCTATGGGTCAGAAGGTAGGGCAGAAGTAGAGTGGTTGCCACACAAAGCCCTGGGTTTGAGCCTTCTCACCAAACAAAACAAAACAAAACCCAAAACATAGTTTGGTCTTTAATGCCTGTTATCTCAGCCCAAGGCAAGGAGAGCCAGGAGGATCAGAAATTTAAGGTCATCTTTGGCTATCTAGTGAGTTCAAGGCCAGCCTGGATTACCTCAGGTACTATTTCAAAAAAGGGAGAGGTATATACCTTTAATCCCAGTACTCTCAGATGCAGAGGCAGGCAGATTTCTGAATTCAAGTCCAGCCTGGTCTAAATACTGAGTTCCAGGCCAGCCAGGGCTACAAAGTAAGATCCTGTCTTAAAACAAAACAAAACATATATTAGTCCAAAAACCTACTGAAAAATTATACATACACTATCCCTACAGGAGTCCGTGAGAATAGCTGAAGGCTATATAACAAGAAACAGGACCAGACAGGAGAGACCTTCCTTTGAGTTGTTGGCCAGGGTCATCCAAGAGACTCCCAGAATTACACAGGCTACTGCCACAGTCCTTGATTGCCTCCCAGAACTTGATGATAAGACCCTATTGCTGAAGACAGGACATACTCTGGACTCAGGATTTGAAGAAATGGAGTGGGAACTGACCTGGAAGCCTCCTCCCCTGAAGGCTAGCTCTCAGAGCTTTAGAGAGCACTATGCAAGCTGCTAAGGGAGAACATCAAAGGATGGTCCAACCCCAGCTTCAAGGCCTAAGAAAACCACATCAATGACCAGCACGGCAAATGACCTTGGTGCATTTATTGTTACTTTTATCTTGGGGATAGTTAACAGCTACCTAATTGGACTTAAAGCCCACTCAATGGAAGGAAACTCATGTCTGGTACTGTAAACCTAGACAAATACACATAGCTGGAGAAATCATAGATCTTAGAGAAAATCCCAAGGCTCTCATATCCCTAGACAAATGTGATTTCTTACTATGTGCAAAATATGGATCCTTAAATTTACAGACAAGTATCCCAGTCACAACCCATCAAAGTAACTTCTTTTTCAACAGACAGAGATTATTACAGAGTTCCATAACTGGTCACACACAGAGATTCAGATTCTCTGTGACTTGCCCAAGCCTAAGTGGCACATCTAGGGTACAGCCTCAACACCTAAGACTCAGGGAACATAGAACAAGGGATGAAGAGAACACTAATGCATCTTTCAATTCTCATCAATGAAGCTCCTTCATGCAGCAGAGGGCCAGGAACACAAAAGGCCACAAATGGCCAAAACAGAAAGTCTGCAGAGTATGGGTCCTTGGACAAGACTCCTATATTGAGGTCTGCCCACCCAGGGCTCAGGGGCCATTGTGGAAGAGGGGATGGAAAGATTGTAAGAGCCAGGGAGGAGGTGCATGACCATACAGAAATAGTCCTACAGGCTCCTAGAACCCTTCTCATACAAACCTACAGCAATGGTGTCAGCATCCACAAGACCCATGCAAACTTAGGTGGACAGAAACCCGACACAGAACTGTGGAAATGAACTGCAAGCCCTAATCTTAGTTGAAGAATTATTGGCAGCTGATTACTGCTGGGTGAGGAAGAGCTGATCTTCTTGAAAGGAGAGACTCTAGATAGACTGACTAAACCCTGGTGGATGAACTTGCACTGAGGGACATCTTGGGACACTAACTTTACATAATAGGCCTTAATACAAATGATAGAATATATAAACTCCAGTGGGGGTGAGGGGGCTATGGGAGGGTACCAAAGGGGAAGGGGGTATAAAGATGATTTTATATAGAAATACACAAGAATTCAATAATAAAAAACCCCCCAAATCCAGTAAAACCCAACAACCTTGGTAGTATATAAAATAATAGAATCTCCTAGAACTGAATGTATTAGAGTCTAGAAACTCTGTAAAGTGATGGTGGTAACAGGGTAGGGTCACTGAGAGAGTACTAGTGCTCTACTTACAGGGTCCAGAGGTTTCGATTTTGCCCAGGTCATCACCGTGGACAACAAAATAAACACCTTCTGCTTTTCAAAATGTCCAACTTCTTCATTCAGTGCTGTGGGGCCAAAAAGCAGAGCAGTTGTTTGGATCCACGTAGGTTTTGTAATTTGTTTATTATTTATTTATTTATTTATTTATTTATTTATTTATTTATTTATTGTGTATGCGTGTATTCTCTGTGTGTAGATAAGTACACCCGCGTCATGCAATACCCTCAGAGGACAGAAGAGGTCATTGGATCCCCTGAAACTGGAGTTTCGGACAGTTGTTAGCTGCCATGTGGGTGCTGGAATTTGAACCCGGGTCCTCTGCAAGAACAGCCAGTGTTCTTAACCTCTGAGCCATCTCTCCAGCCCTCCATGTAGAGTTTAAAAAAAAACAAACTTTTATTTAAGCCAGGCATGGTCACAGACACCTTTAATCCTAGCACTCCCAAGATGGAGGCAGGTGGATCTCTGTGATTTCAAGGCCAGCCTAGTCTACACAGTGAGTTCTAGGTCAGCTAGAGCTACAGGGAGACCCTGTCTCAAAAAAGACAAAAAAAAAAAGCAAACTCTTTTATTTGATTTTTAATTGGGCGGGGGGGTAGTTGTACATGTGAGTACAGGTGCCTCTAGAGGCCAGAGGTACCAGAAACCCCTGGATCTAGAACTACATGTGGTTGTGAGTCACCCCATGTGGGTACTAGCAATGGCACTTGGGCTCTCTGCAAAAACAGTATGCCTCTTATAATAGATGAGCCATCTCTCCAGCCCCTACAGCTGTTTTTTTGTTGTTGGGTTTTTTTTTTTTTTTTTTGAGACAGGGTCTCCCTGTAGTCCTAGCTGGCCTGGAACTGACTTTGTAGACCAGGCTGGTCTTGAAATCACAGAGATCTGCCTGCCTCTGCCTCCCAAGTGCTGGGATTAGAGGCATGTGCCACCATGCTCAGCTAGCAGCTGGTTTTTTAAATCACGTCTTGTTAGTTTTCAGAGAGACTTGAAGCTCCTTCAAGGAGCAGCTTATCACCATGGTGGGGTCATCCCTGATGCTTCCTGTCCCATCCCCACCAGTGTTCTTTAAATTCTTCCTCTGGTCTGCTAACCTCTGGGGTCAGCTCAGTTTACCCCTTTCCTGTGTCCTGGCCATTGGCAGCCATGGGTGTTAAATGGAAGCTCTTGAGGTCAAGGCATTTCTGAAATATAAGTGCTGCCCCTTTTATATAGTCCCTGTGTCAGCATGAAGCAGCTAGTGTGGTCTGTGCCCTAAAACCCCAAGAGCAGTTAGGGTAACCTCTGAGAAGAGGAATGAGGGAATAGGAGCTAGCCATATTTTTGGACAGGTAGATACAGGGAGAGAGCCACAGTCAAGTAATAAAGCTGACATACGTCTGTCTTCTTGGGCTAAAACAAAGGCCTGGAGTCTCCCCCTCTAGCCAGTAGGGCCCTCTTTCTAGCCAACCAGTTCAATTCAGTTCACATAAGACCAAGGCCAGACCTGGACATGTCTTCAAGGCCTATCAGCCTTGTTGTCTTTGTTTAAATTGATCAATTTAAATTAGGGGAGGAGGACCCACTAAAACCCCTAAAAACCCAGGCCCTTCAGGAAAAGAATTTTTTTTTAGTCTTTTTGAGGCAAGGTCTCCCTGCAGTGGGGCTGACCTGGAACCCACTGTGTAGCCCAGGCTGGCCTTGAACTCACAGAGATCTGCCTGCCTCTGCCTCCGGAGTGCTGGGAGAGGACTTGAACTTTGTTGTTGTTTCAGAATCTCCTCCCCAGTAATGGGAAATCTTTTTTCCTCTGTGTGGGTCTGATTCTTCATCTTTCAATAAAGTCTGTTGCCTGTTGTTCTTTGCTGTGCTTGAGATATTTCCTGCCTTTTAATTCTTTAATTGGCTAAGAAAATGAATCCAACTACAACCCCTAGACAGTAACACAAGGACTCACAGAGCTGGTTTGGATGCTAACCAGAAAAGGACTGGGTTCCAGAGCAAGTTGTTCGACAACCAGTCAGGCAGCTAGGGAGCTATTGGAAATAATGTCCACCGAATCTCAGTGTCAAGAACCTTTCTAAGTGAAAATTTGGGGAACAGCAGTATGAACTGTTTACCCACAATGTACACTGATGGTCAGTAAGAGGGGCAGGTAAAGTGCCGTGGGGAGACGTAGGGACAGGAGAACAGGTTGTGAGCAGTACTCCAAAGTTTCTGCTCAGAAGGATGAGTGATGACTATGGTCTCAGGTTTGGATTTTTAAAATAATATTCTATTTTTATTTTATACAAATGAATATTTTCCTTGCATGTACGTAAGGACCCGAAGAGGCCAGAAAAAGGTGTCAGATCCCCTGGAACTGAAGTTACAGGAAGTTGTGAGCTGCCATGTGGGTGCTGGGAATCAAACCCAGGTCCTCTGCAAAAGCAGCCAGTGCTCTCAACCACTGAGCCATCTCCCCAGCCCCTTGGTCTCAGGGTTTTGAGACAAGGTATTAATGTTATTCAGGAAACTGGACCCATCTTCTGCCAGGTTCAGGCTTGGTCAGTGTCTAACGGACTCTTTCCTTTCTTTTCCCTTTTCCTCCTCTTGCCTCTGTGACTAATTCAGGACATTTCACAGTTGTTCTTTGTCACGGCTTTCCCTCAAGCAGAGGCTTGATGATGGCAAACAACTTGCTGGCCCAGAATGGAGTAATTCATGGCTTTCCTGATTTGCCACCACCAGGAGACAGGTGCTAAAATATTGGGGGACCCTGCTGCTAAGGTTGCAGTCCACCATGTCCGGATAGCTCTAAGGACCTCGGCACTGTATGGAGGACTCCCTTTCTCAGCGGGGGCTTCCTGCTCTCTTGGAAAATGCCTCCAAGCACAGATGCCTGGCCTTATTTGGAACATGACCTTGGCATGGTTGCCTGCAAAAAACTGCACCTAGGTTTTTTCTTTATTACAGTTAGGCATTGCACTATAGCCAGATGATAGGGTCCTCCCACCACATTCAAATAAAGCATACTACAAACACCTGTCAGGTGAAGCTTTGGCTACCGTCTCCACCCTATATTTTTTCCCTGACCCCCACTGAATAAACGAGCTGTATCACTGAAACTGACTCCTGGAAGGTCTTTTCCGTTGTGCTCACCGGCCGTCCTGACCCTGCTCATCGCTTCTGCTCCCTTTGTTCTCGTGGGTTGGTGACCAATGGCCCAGGAGGGGAGGGAGAGACCCACACTAATACTAACTGTATTCAGAAGAGGGAGCAGGAGCACTTTGCCCAGAACCATACAGGAGACTGTTTGGTAGAGGCCAACCCAGATGGCCTTCCTGCCAGGCTGTAGTGTCCCCACTAGACCATCCAGCCAGCTGAATGGAAAATGGAGCAGCTTGAGCATGGGGCACTAGAGGCTACACGTCAGAGATTGGCTTCTGTATTCTGCTTGCTTGCCTAGCAACATGATCAATATGAAAAGGGCCAGAGTGCTTAGGCTCGGTGCTACTCTCAGACCCTTTAGGAAAGAGTGTGGCCCGGCCATAATAAATCTTTCTTTCTCTAGACTCACCTGTCTGTTTATCTGTCTGTTTGGGGCATTTGTGGATCATAGACTATAACAGTGTTCCACCTAACAAAGGTTTAGTCATAAGCTATGTGCCAAGTCTTGGGAGTGCATGAGGTTTATAGCGCCACTGAGGTATTCTTCACCCTGGGTAATTTTCCAGGAGAGAATTTAAGGCACAAAAGCGAGGCTTAATTAAATTGTCAGAGGGTCAGAGTGGTGTGGGCGTCAGGGGCATTTTCAGTCTCATTAAGTGACTCCTTACACAATAGCACACTGGGCTGCTGCGCTTTTCCCTCATTGGGAAAGAGCAGACTCCTACCTGAGGCAGAAAGCGTCACTGAACTGATCCTAGCAACGCTGCGCCCAGCTCACATTATCAATCCCAACCTCAAACGTTAATTTGAGGTTTTAAAAAATTCTAATAAGACATTGTCTCCTTGGTCTAGTTTTGCTATCCTGCTTTCTTCTCTGCTCATTGGCCAGTTTTGTGAATGTGTGACACACTTCCAGGGCTCTAACTGGGTCACCCTTTGTTATGTGACATTTATAATAGGTCAAAGATGCCCTTCTTTCCCTCTTCTAAAGGGCTCCTTATCTATATATGCAAATGCTCTCTTCCAGCCTTCCTCCTGTGTCATCTTCATTTCACAGAACCCATGAAAGGTGAGTCAGAATTCTTCTAATAAAGCACTTGTAAAAAGTGGTATGCATTGTGAAGGGCAGCTTTTGTTTTTTCTTTCCTTTTCCCCCAGGCTGTCCTCTAAGTATCTAAGCAGCAAAGGATGACTTTGAACTTGAACTTCTGACCCCCCCTCCACTCCCCTGTCTCTAGCACCCAAGTGCTAGGGTTCCAGGCATCCACCATCTCATCCAGTTCATGCTCTGCTGGGGATTGAACCAACAGGAGACAACCTCTCAACTGAGCCATGTCTCCAGCCCACTAGTCCTTATTTCCTAGTCTTTCTTTTATTAAATTCATTTTCTAATTTTAATTTTTTTTGTCTTTTTGAGACAGGGTCTCCTTGTATCCTCAGCTGGCCTGGAACTCACTATGTAGACCAGGCTGGCCTCAAACTCACAAAGATCCGCCTGCCTCTGCCTCCCAAGTGCTGGGATTAAAGGCATGTGCCACACAGGGTCTTCTTGTAGCCCCAGCTGGCCTGAAACTCACTACATAGACCAGGCTGGCCTCAAACTCACAGAGATCCACCTCCCTCTGCCTCTGAGGAGTGCTAGGATTAAAGGCATGTGCCATCACACCCAGCCCAGCCCTCAGATTCTTAACCCTCCTGCCTCAGTCCCCAAAGTACCACACCTGGTTTAAGAATAATATTCAGGGGCTGGAGAGATAGCTCAGCAGCTATGAGCACTTGCTGCTTTTGAAGAGAACCAGAGCAGTTCCCAGCGCCCATGTCAGATGGCTCATAACTGCTTATAAACTCCAGCTCCAGGGGATCCAACTCCCTCTTCTGGCCTCTGTAGATAAACACACACATATACATACATATGTACATACATACATACATACATACACACACATGTACACACACATGCATACACAACATGCAGACACACATAACACACAGACACAGGCATGTTCATTAGCACAGATTTCAAACTTTAGTTAAGTCTTGAATCAGTCCTTCCATGAGTCTTGGGCAAAGCAGCTTTGCAAAAATAGTGCCCCTTTCAATTATAAAGGGTCAGTAGGGACTAGGGAGTATAGCTCAGTTGATACAACACTTTCTAGCAGGATGGAGACCGTGGGTTCCATCCCTGGCATTTCTTCCACTAAACAAACAAACAAACAAACAAACAAATCATTGCCCTGTCCCCAGTGAAGCTCACTGACCGGAGACTGCCCATATGGCTTCCTCCACTTGCTGTGTGTGCTCAGTGATGTTATAGATGACAACATCACACTCCAGCAGGCGTGTGCGAAGGTCTTCTCTAGAGATCATCTAAAAAGAAAAGCAACAGTCATTTGCAGCAAGAAGTTGCCAGGGTAACCTGAATGTCTGAGATTGTTTTATTCATTTGTATTTCCCTCCCTCTCCCTCTCCCTCTCCCTCTCTCTCTCTGTGTTTGTCTGCATGAGTTTATGTACACTCCATGCGTGCAGGAGCCAGACAGGCCAGAAGGCATCAGATTCCCTGGAACTAGAGTAACAGGTTGTGGGTGCTAGAAACTGAACCAGGTCCTCTGCAAGAGCAGCAAGTGTCTTAACCTCTGAGCCATCTCTCCAGCCCCAGCCTGGATGTTTAGATGGATGATAATCTCCAATTTAGATCTGCACATAGAAGAGCACCACAGGAGGCATCTGTGGGAGGAGCTCTATGTAAAATGAAATTTCCGCTCTCTTCTGTGTTTAGTTGCAAGTAACAAAGAAGTTACTGAAAATAGTCTGAAATGGATGATTTTTTTAAAATTGTAAAACTGGGGGCTGGAGAGACAGCTCAGTGCTTAAGAGCACTGGCTGCTCTTGCAGAGGACCCAGGTTTGATTCCCAGTACCCACATGGTGGCTAACAAACACCCATAACTCTAATTCCAGGGGAATCTGGTGCCCTTTTCCGACCTCTGTGGGCATTGCACAAGTGCATTTACATACATGTAGGCAATACACTCATACGCACACACACACACACACACACACACACACACACACACACACACTGTAATGATAAAAAATTGCAAACTGGAGGCTGGAGCTGGCGGTGGCGAGTGGCTCAGTCCATAAAGTCCTTGCCTTGCAAGCATGAAGACCTGAGTTACTTCCCTACAACTTCCATAAGAATGCTGGGCATGGCAGCTTGCATTTGCAAAGTGCTGGGGAGGTAGAGGTAGAGGGTAGAAGCCCCAACCAGCCAGCTTAGCCTACCAGGTGAGCTCCAGGCCAACAGGAGACTGTCTCAAAGGAGGTAGACAGTGTGCTGGAGGAACAAACCCAACACCTGCACACACTTGGGTGTGCATGCACATATACATATGCACATACATGCACAAATAAAAATTGCAAAATGATCTTAGGAACTATTTCTGCATGCTGTTCAAACTGTGGCCCAGAAGGGAAGCATCAGAACACAAGGGAGGAAAAGAAGTAAGGTGTTAAAGGTTTCTACCATTATACATCATGGATCCCTTGTGAGTGCTGGTGAGTGGCTCATCTGGATTATTCTGGAATCCTCCAGATGGAGTGAATTTGATATCTCTGTGGATGTACGGTGACTTAAATACTGACCATTGGGAATATCTGTAAAAGTACAGAAACATTTGACAATTTATTATTACTACTATTATTATGTGTATGGTAAGGGTAGGGGATACAGAGGCCATGACACGTGGAAATTGGAGGTCAATTCTGTGGAGTTGGTTCTGTCCTTCCACCTTTATGTGGGTTCTGGGGATCAAACTCAGACATCAGGCTTGCACAGGGAGCACTTCACCTGCTGAGCCACTTTGCTGGCCTCCACATCAGAAATTTTTTAACAGTTTAAAATATTAGAGTCACACACAAGACCAAAATAACTTTGGTGATGGTTGGATCTGGATGGGTTGGTCCTTGATGCATGGTGCCAGAGCATCTCCCTCCATTGTGAGCCCATGGATGAGAATCAGACAATCCTAAGGACCAGATTTCCAAACTGGGACCTGCATTTGCTGTTCTTACATTGAGTGTTAGAGGTTCCCTAGAGTCTCTGACCATCTTCCTGGATCCAGAACCTATGATGTCAAACTCTGTATCTCAGGACAGCCAAAAGAGAATATTCCCCCATTAAATTCAACCATGCACATTTCTCTAGCCCTATTCAAGTCTGTTTCCATCTACCTACTCTAATTTGCGTGTGCTCCTATAACAAAGTGCAAGAAACCAAGTGTCTTAAAAGACAGAAATGCATTGTCCATCCAGAGGCTGAAGTCTGAGGCTAAGGTGTCCCAGGCAGATTTGATGCCTGATGGGTGGAGCGGAGAGTTCATTCCTTGCGTCCCCGTTAGTTTCCAGGGAGTGATGGCAATGGCTGGAGGAGTGGCTCGTAGATGCACGGCCCCCTTCTCTGTCTTGCCATTCACCTGCTGTTCCCACTGTGTGCGCATTCAGTCCAGAAAAGGACTATTTAAGAGGCCGCTGTCATGGGTTAAATCGTCTCCTCCCCACAAAAGGACATGTTGACATCCTTGTTCGCAGTACCTTGGCATCTGAGCTCATTTGAAGACAGGACCTTGTGCTTTGAATGTGAGATGTCCCCTGTGGGTGTGTTAAGACATCATTCTTACTGGATGACCTTGAACTCATGACCCTCTTGTCCCCCTCCAGAGTCCTAGGAGTACAGGTACAAGCCACCATACAAAGCCAAGGTGGAACTTTCAATAATGCTTTCTTCACATTTTATTTGTAATTGACATCTAAATGATTATACACATTTATGGGCTAATGAGTTAAATCTTGAAGCATAAACAAGTTATGGGGAGCAAAGAGCTGAACAGTGGGTTCAGAGAGCAGTAGGCTAAGGGGAGAGAGAGATTAGCCTGGGAGAGAAAAGGGCTATCTCTTCCAATGTCTCTGGGTGAGGATTTGTCACATGGAAGTGACGTAGTTATTCAATGAAGCAGACACAATATCATGGGAGTCCTCAGTGGCTCATTACCCTCGGGTCTCCTTCTTTCCTGCATGGCACCTACTCAGCCAAGTCCTCTAGAGCTTGAAGTTCTCAATACAGAAGAATCTTGTGAGTCTGAAAATCCAGGTCAGATCCATCTTTTTCAAGAATATCTCACTTAAACTCTTCACTTTGTGCCCCAAATTAAAGCGGAAACACTGCAGTATTCCCGGTCACAGTGCAAAGATGTGGGCTGGGCTGAGGAGACGGCTCAGTGGCTAAAACTCTTGCTGTACAAGCATAAGGACCTGAGTTCAGATCCCCAGAACCCGTGTCAAGCTGGATGCAGTAGTGTGCACCTGTAATCCCAGGTCTCCTGTGCAATATGGGAGGCAGAGACAGGAGGGTTCCTGGAAACTCATGGGTGCAGGCAGCCATGAACAACAGAGAGACTCTGCCCAAACAAGGTGGAAAGCAAGGACTCATGTCCAAGTTGTCCTCTGACCTCCACACATGTGCTGTGGCACACACACACACACACACACACACAGAGACACAGACACACAAAACACAGACCCCTCTCCTCTCTGTCTCTCTTTCTCTCTGTCTGTCTCTGTCTCTCTGTCTCTGTCTGTCTCTCTGTCTCTGTCTGTCTCTCTGTCTCTCTCTCTCTCGTGCAGAGGTACTGGCACCAAAGGGCCTCTGCACTGTTAATTCCTAGGGAAAACCCCAGGGACTTACCGAGTACGTCTCCACAGCAAAGTCAGGCTGGATACTTTCTGGCTTGGACAAGGTGCCCACAATTTGGAAAGTGCCTTCCTTCACTTTGCCTGAGGAAGATTCTGGGGCTGCTGACTTTGCTTCATCTTCCTCTTCCTCCTCTTCTGCAATCTCCTTGAGTGAGGCGCCAGCTACACAGTTAGCTAGGAACTGCAAGCAGAGGGACAGTTCCCAATAGTAAGCACAGGCTAGGGCAAGGAAAGCCAGTGATGATCCTCACTCGGCTCCCCACAGCTCAAGCAAAATCCCTGCACACAGTGGCCCCATAAGGTCGATTCGCACAACACAGGGTGGTGGTCACTGTTATGAGTGACCATACAGATAGTGTTGCAGGCAGCAATGCTGGAGGGGCAGAGCCATCGAAGCCCTCTGAAACTGAAATCTCAGGTACCGGATATAGAGCTACAGGATTTGCATTTGCCCTGCTGGATTTGGGTCTATTCTGGTCCAATATTTCCTCAGTGTGCCTCCATTCCTCCCTTTTGGAATGGGGGTGTATATTTGGTGCCACTGCATGTCAGAACTATGTAATTTGTTTTTTATTTTCATGGGGTAACCGAAGATTGCCTTAGGCCTCAAAAGAGACTTTGGACTTTTGAACAGTGTTGATTGGGATTGTAAAAGACTATAGGGAGTTTAAAAGATGGACTAAATACATTTTGCTTTATGACACAGCCATGGGCCTACATGGGTCAGGGACTGGAGTGTGGTGGTTTGAATGAGACTGCCCCCTATAGGCTCAGGTATTTAAACACTTGGTCCTTGGTGGTGCTGTTTGGGGAGATCATGGGACCTTTAAGAGGCGCGGCTTTGCTAGAGGAAGCAGGTTGCTGAGGGTGGGTTTTGGGGGTTCAAAGCCTCACAGCACTTCCAGTTTGCCTTCTCTTTGTGTTTGTGGCTGAAGATGGGATCTCTCTGAGGCCTCGTGCTGCCAGCCTTGAAGATACTGACTTTGAACTTCTCCCTCCAGAGCTGTGAGGGAATCACATGTGATGCTATAGGTAGCCCAGTGTAGGGCTGTGGCACAGCCCCAGGAAAGCAGTGCAGGTGGTGTGGGCTGTAGTCTCATCTGCTTAGGAGCCGAGTCTAATTTAAAGGACTGATCACTAGCCTCACAGACATCTTCCCACAGCCAGGCAGGCTTCTGTGCCACCCCAGGGAACAGTATTAACATGAGTGGACCTGCGCTGGGGGGATGGCTAGATGGTTAGGTGCTTATGAGTGCTTGCTGTACAAGATAAGGACCTGGTTTGAATTCCTAAAACCCACATAGAAAGCTAGGCATGGCCACAGACTTATGACCCCAGCACTGTTGGGGGCAGAGACAGGTGGATCACTAGGGCTTGCTGGCTGCCAGCCTAATTAGACTCAAGGGAATAAAACAGAGCGTGATAGAGCACTTGGCTTCCTCTAGCTTCACAGGCACTCGAGCATGCACCAGCACATGTGCATATACACTTACTTTTCTAGTTTGCTTTCTGTTGTGATAAACACCATGACCAAAACTAAGCTGGGAAAGGAATGGGTTTATTTGACTTTATATTTATTTATAGGTTACAGTCAATCATGAGATAAACCACAGTAGGAACTTAAGGCAGAAACCTGGAGCCAGGAACTGAAGCAGAGATCAAGGAGGAATACTGCTTGCTCCCAGGCCCACGTTCAGCCAGTCTTTCCCTCTCTCCCTCCCTCCCTCCCTCCCTCCCTCTCCAGATAGAGTCTCCCTGTAGCCCCAGCTGGCCTAGAACTCACTATGTAGACCAGGCTGAACTTGAACTCACAGAGATCTGCCTACCTCTGCCTCCCAAGTACTGGGACTAAAGGCGTGTGCCACCATGCCCAGCCCTCAGCTACCTTCCTTATACAGCCTAGGCCCACCTGCTTAAGGATGGTACTTCCCACACTGGGCTGAGCCCTCCTACATCAATTAGTAACTGAGGTTACCTCTTCTCAGGTATGTCAGGTTAACAAGGCATATACACCATACACACATATGCGCACTTTTAAAAAAAAACCAGCGGACTGTTTTCAGGGATATGATAAAACATGGCTTTCTTTTGACAAATCTTTCAAATTGACAAATGATCAATTTAAGATGAAGGCCCTGAATTCTCCTTTGGAATGTGTGTGCGTGTGTGTGTGTGTGTGTGTGTGTGTGTGTGCTTGCCTGAGCATGTGTAGACTAGAGATCAAAGTCAGGTTTCTTCCTCTATCACTCTTCACTGTAATTTTTGAAACAGAGTCTCTCTCTGAACCCAGACCTCAGCATTTCCTCTAGCCTGGCTGGCCAGCAGGCTCCCGGGTATCTCCACCTTCCAGGGCTGGCCCACACCCAGCTTTTATGTGGGTGATGGGAATCTCACCTTAGGTCCTCATGCTGGTGGCAGTTGCCCACTGAGCCAGCTCCCCAGACTTCCTTTTGGATCTTTAAATTCTCCAGGTTTACAGGTGGGAGAATTGTAAGCCTAGTGGGCCCATCCAAAACCTAGCCTGGCACAAAATAGATGCTTTAAGATAGGATGTATGGATGCTTCATGGGCGACATAGCGACTGGACTTACTTATTCTGTCACCTGCCTGCTCCTGGTTCTGCTCACCACTTCCTATATGACCATTGCAATGTCCTCTCTTGAGCCTCAGTTTCCCCATATTAAAGGGGTAGGAACTAGGGTTGGACCTGCTATCTTCAAACCCCTGGGTTTCTTGCTAGGGGCACTGGTCAAGTCTGGTTAGAGTCGGGGGGCGTAGGTCGAGCTCAGGATGTGCGACCTCCTTTGGGGAGGCCCTTAAGCACTGGGGGTGCAGGCTGCGCTGATGGAGGGGACCGAAGCCTGCGGGCTGAGGGGCTGGGGTCGGCGCCGCCGCCGCTCACCTTTCCTATGTTTCCGCTGCTGTAGGTGTCCAGCAGGTTTATGAATAGCCTCTGGATCCGGAGAACTTTCTCTTTTGGGGCAGCAACTTCCTCTTCAGCCATGGTGGGAGCTGTGCTGGTTGCTAAGGTGAAAGCGTCCGGTTGGTTGCTAAGGAGGGGCCGGGCCTCAGGCTGTCTTCCGCCGGACTCGGGGATGTGGGCGTGGCTTGAAGGAACAGGTCGGGACTCGCAATGTGGGCGTGGCGCGCAGGGCGAGGGGATATGGGCGGGGCTCGAGCGCCGGGCGTTAGGCGCTCGCTCTCTGGGCGTGGCTCTGGTTGTGGGCGGGGCCAGGCGCTGGGGCTCTGGGCCGGACTCCTTCGCGCTCCTTCGCGCTCCTGCTAGACTGGCTGGGACTGGCCCCTGCGGGTTCCTGGACCGCGTTTTCCCGCGTGCAGCCCCTGCCGTGCGCCGTCCGGCCGGGTGCTGTCTGCGGGCCTCGCCGGCACCGTCGCCGCCCAGCCGCTCTGCTCCCTTCCATCCTTCCCAGGTCCTCTTGTGGACTCTGATAAGCGAAGTCTCCCGGCGTTTACTGAACCGCGGGCGTTACCGGGCTCTCCCCGGGACGGTGGGACGGTCAGCCCTGGCAACTTCTTTACTGTGAAGAAAAGCAGTTGTATGCCCAGCGTGGTAGTGCACGCCTTTAATCTCAGCACTTTGGGAGGCAGAGGCAGGCGAATCTCTGTGAGTTCGAGGCTAGCCTGGTCTACAAAGTGAGTTCCAGGCCAGCTGAGGCTATAAAGAGACCTTGTTGCTGAAATAAACCCACCAATTAAAAAGTAACACTGGAGCCCACGAGATGGTTCAGCGGTAAAGGCACCTGCCGCCAAGCTTGGGACCTGAGTGGAGATGGGTAACTCCAGCAAGCTGTCCTCTGACCTCCACGCGCGGTGCTCCCCACACATACACCAAGAAATAAACGTAATAGCATTCAGTGGGAATGGCAGGTACAGGGACAAAAAATAGTAACATTGACCTTGTTTTTTTTACTGGTCTTCAAAGGCTGTGGTGGGTTACGAATATATCCTACTAGTTATGTTACAATAAGTAGTCTGATTATATTTAAAATTTAAAAATATGTAAATATATTTTAAATTTTGCTTTCTCATCAGTTGAGTCAAACATCTTTCATTTTTTTCCATTGGAACACGTTAGTCACTGGATGCGTATTATTTTTCTGAGAGGTCCGATCATATTATTTGAACATTATTTTTTCTTCTTTTAGACAGGGCCTTACTGTAGCTCAGGCTGACCTTGATGTAGCTGAGAATATACCCTTGAACTCTAGGTCTTCCTGCCTCCACTTCCAAGTGTTCTGATTACAGGTGTGTCACAATGCCCAGTGACTTCTCTTTTTTAACTGGTTTGTAAGCGTTATTTAGAGGATTCTTTTAGAAGTAAAATACAGACTTAATTTATATGGTAAATTCTTTAAAGAATTTGAAGGTTTTAGTCTCTTGGTTCTCTTTTGTATTTTTGAGACAGGGTCCCCCTGTACCCCCAGCTGGCCTGGCACTCACCATATAGACCAGGTTGGCCTTGAATCAGATGCTCACCTGCCTTATCATTTTTATTATTTTGTATGTATGGGTGTATTGCCTGCATGTAAGTGCACTGGTGTCGTGCAGTGCCCTCAGAGGTCATAAGATGGCATCGGCTCCCCTGCAACTGGAGTTACGGACAGTTGTTAGCTGCCATGTAGGTTGTTGGGAATGGAACCCAGGGTCCTCTGCAAGAGCAGCCAGTGCTTTTAACTGCAGAGCCATCTCTCCAGTCCCTACCTTATCATTTTTATGTGTCCGAGTGTGTTGTTTGCACATGTATAAGTGGCACCTGTGTCTTGGGATGCCTGAAGAGGTCAGGAGAGGGTGAATTCCCCTGCAACTGGAGTTACCAACGGTTGCTAGCCACCATGTGGGTGCTGGGACTTGAACCACGCTCATCTGCAAGAGCAGCCAGTTCTCTCAACCTCTGAGCCATCTCTTCAAGCCCATTTCTTTTTTCTGAGAAATAAAAAGAGCAGTTCCCTTCACTCCAAATGGAAATCAAACAACAAAGAATTTAAAAAGTGAAAACGAGGTCTTGGAATTGGGACATTTCTCACAAATGCAGTCTCAACGTTTAGAACAATTGCTTCTCTTCACACTCAACTCAAAGTGAGTAAACAGCATTTTATTCAAACTTTACAAATATCATTCATATTCGCCTGAGATTAAGCATGAGAAAGTTCAACCTGAAGTTAGACTTCACTGCCCGAACAGTTAGGCATCTGGAAACCAAGCTAAGAAGGAACGTGCCTCAGTCTTAGAGCCCAGCTCAAGCACTCAAATGAGCCCTGACAGTGCCGGGAGCAAAGATGGAACTCCGATTTGCTCTGGTCCAAGTGATCCTTATACGTTTAAAACTTTTTTGATCCTCAGGATTGAACCCAGGTGCTTCCACATCATAGGTAAGTGTTCTTCCCCTAGCCCTCCCTCTCCCATGATTTTCAGAGCCTAAAAATGCCCATTTTTAAAATTATGACATACAGAAATCCTGCAGATGACAAACTTATGAAGGTACATCTGGATGTGGCATTTTAGATCAACATTTCTACAGAGGCTGCTTCAGGTGACTATTAAAAAACAATGCCCGATCCTTTCTGTTTTCATGTACCGGAAAACATGCAGCAGAATGGTACGGTTTATTAACTTTATAAACATCAGGAACTGTACTAAAATAGAAAATACAGAGCATCTCTTTTTCAAATATCAAGTCTCTGAATGCTTCATTCATCCTTTGGTTTCAGACCCACACAATGCACTCATATTACACTGTACACACGGCAATGGGACGGACACTGTCCATCTGCTGGGGAAGGAGGGTGCCCAGGGAGTCCCAAAGCATTACATTATAGAGAGGAAGTGCTGAAGCAAAAATACTTTCTGAATATATATACTGTACATTATGTAAACAAACATTCAGAATAAGAATCAACACAGGCCAAAATTGTTTCCTAAGAAACCAGAATCTTCCTCCTTTGAAATAATACACACTGAGGATGCTTTCTGTCGACAATGGAGCCCGTTCTGATATTTGCTCATGTGCTTAGATATCTTGAAAATGAGTAATTAGTACATTCATTTGCTAACGGCTTGTCCTCGGCTAGGTCGGCTGGCTGTGGCATATAAGCGATTCATTTTTATCCGTCCATTTTGGTAATATAAATAGATTAAGTAAAGCAGTAAATCCCAAAATTTGTGCAGGGGAAACAAGGGCCGCAAAAATCACCCCTGCAAAGTCGGTCCAAGCCAGCAGTAAACCCCTGATTTAGCAGGCTGAGTGCTTTTGAAGTTAGGTAACCCTAATTCCTATATTACTGTGCAAATCTATACTTCCCTATGTCAAAGCGAGTGCTGGCAGCATCAAGCCCATACAGGAGAATGGGATACCGATAAGACTGTGAAATGCAGGAGCTGTGGAGAAATCCAAATGTCTTAATGATGGAGTCACAGCAATGACCTCAAAATCCCCTTAAATGAATCCCAAACTAAGCTTACTAGTCAGCAATGTTCCAAGTCAAAACCCTACATCTGAAGCAAGTGATAACACAGAAAACCAAAAATGCACTTTCTACTATGATCATATGTAAGGATTTCAAGTTTCATGGTAACATTCTGTACCAGCAGGAACCCCTTCTACAAGGAAACCTAGTCACGACTGTCCATCCTTTTTCAAAGCTTCCAGTCTCTGAAGGAGTGCGTTTCCAAATGCTTCCCGGTAGGCAGGGCTGAGCATGTCCAGCAGGGAGTAGACAGTTTCATGGTAGGGAGTCTGCAAATGGTCATCCACCTGATCAAAGGCATACCCTACCACCTAAGAGAAAAGTACAAGGGAATCATCAACTTCCATCTTGGCACAGAAGGCAAAAGTAGAGTGATTAAACTGGTCATTCCGTGTTCTCAATAGAGCATGGACATTTGAATACAATCTGCAGGGATTTGTAAGTGATTTATAACATATAACAGAAACAGCATGGGCAAAGGCTTCCTTACCACAGGATACATTTGATTTACCCAATTTTGTGCCTTTTAATAAAGCACTGAAAATCTTGAAAGTTTCACAAAAATAGCACATTCATTTTTCACACTTCAAAACATCTGGGAAGTGGGTGTATAGTTGAATAAGATGGTTTGGGATGTTCTGTGTGATACACACACACAAAATCAAATTTGAAAACATGTCTTATATTTGAGGAGGAAGCATGGAAATTTATGTCATGTTAATTGGTAGAGGTGATAAACATTACCACTGAAATCTACCCGATGACTTTATAGACATACACAGGTGCCAAGGATCCA